AAGAAAAATTTATTTCACCGGTTCACCCCTTCGCGTGGGATCGAGACCCCTCGGACCGGTTAAGAAATTCTTTAATTTTCCCTCTTATGTAAGAGCTCAATTTATTTGTCATTTTTTATATTTTTTTACTATTCGACTTCTTATTTAAGAAAGACGTACTCCATGTCAACCGTTCTCAGCGTTTGTTTTTGAGAAGACATATTACTACGTCATCCAACATCAGTGTTAAGATAAAATAAAAAAAAAATTAAAATAAAAATTACATTAAAGATAAAGTAAAATAAAAATTGTACTCACCGAAATGATAAATATTATAAGAACCGATTAGCTAGTAAAATAAGGAAAGCGCTTACAAACGTGAGGACGAATCGTGAGTGCAGTATACGGAAAAGTTCAACGGAATATAAAGTAAGATCGATGCCAGTTATACAACGAAAGGAACTACAAAAGGGAGACTTGTGTTTCCGAGTTTCTTCCAACAAACGTCTATCGATCAATGTAACACGCATACTCTCTGTGAGAATTAGCTGAACCGGGCGATTATAGAACCATCGTACTTAGAGGGTGTTTCACGGCACGCTCATGCTCAAGATCCTCGGTAGATATTCGATAAAGCCTTATCTACCACGAAAATCAAAAGTATACTCTGCCGGGCCGAGGTCTTGAATTGCATTAGCATTTCAGTCACGGTACAGTCATGGCTCGTTCGGACGTCATTCAATGCTCCTAAGCGTGACCGAGCCGTGAACATTTGAAGAACATTAAGAACCGTGAGACCCCCCGTCCCTGAGTCGTTTCGAGAACTTTGTAAGGCCTACTGTCCACTAAGGCGTCTCGTCATAGACGCTTCATAGATATTTGACAGCTTGCAGGACGCTTCCATGTTGAACGCTACGCTGACGTGTCTATGACGAGATGCCTTAAGTGAAGAGTAGGCTTAAGCTGATTTTGCCGTACACTGGTGTTCCAAAGTATTGCACGCACGCCGAGTTTATCGAAATCTGCGAAATTCATAGATTCTAGTGTAGAGTAAAAGGTTCTTCCTCGTAGCAGCTCTATAGAATACCTTTGTCCGCCAGAGATCGGTTGGGGTGTGATCGCAGCTTCTGTCGCAACGTAAACTGTTCCGTCACCGTGTGTACGTTATCGCTGCAAAGCAGGGCGGCTCGCTGAAACGTGATTATAGACAGAGAATACTCTCTGGTGATTAGTGACATGCTTCCAGCCTTGTTTCCCTTTCGATCAACGTTCGATCTTCCTGTGACATACTGAGAATGATAGGGTGTTTATACACACGGAGAGAGAGAGAGAGAGAGAGAGAGAAGACGTAATTATAGACAGAGAACACTTTCTGGTGATAGGTCAAAATTTATCCTTTTAATTCCACTTCCGGTATAGCAATTAGTGGTAAAAAAACAGGCCATCAGGGCAGATCATTATAGTCTCAAGGCTTCTCTTTTTCGTGTAGGAATTATCAGGTACCCGGCATGCAAATTTGGATATAACAATCAGGACACAATTGTTTCTACGAAAGCACACGGTGCGAAAAAGAGGTTGGAAGGGGAAACAGGCGCGTGAGTTGCCCCTAGGCTACCCACCGTTGTTTTAAATGCTTAAAAAAAATACTGGCCATTTTACCTCTTGACAAAAATTGCACGTATCGAAAATCCGAACTAGTACGATAACTAGGGAAATATGATTGTTCGCAGCGTGTTAATATATCTTTTTTTAAGTCATTTTTCTTCTTTGTTCGTTTTCAATTTTTTCTCCTAAAATATTCTAAAATGTGTTAAAAGTATGAACATGTTTTTTGTTTTACCTAAATTTCCCTTCAAATAACAAATGCAAATTTTTGTTTTGCTTAATGACAAGTACACTCGTCATTAAACAAAAGAATCCCATCTGTTCACGACGAGTATACTGGACATAAACATCGAAACGTTTAATTGTCGCAAATCAGCGGGAGTGAAAACGTGGAAAAAAGTCCGCGGTCCCGCTCGGCTTAGCGTACCCTGTATCAGTGCCTCGTCCAGGCTCGCTGTCGAACTGGTTTCGCGCGGTGTCAGGCCCGCATAATTACAGCACCGCATCCCAGGTGGTCTTAATAAATGAATACCGTAATAAATGGCTGTCTCGGGTAGCAAGAAGAAAAGGTCAGGTCCGGGGGACTTTAAACGGTTCTGGAAAAAGAACGAGACGTGTCCCGGATAATTACACAATATTATTTTTAAACGCTGACTCCCTGCCACCACGCGGCCTCTAGTCTGTCCGCTCGGCGGCGCCCACTATGGATTAATCCGCGTAGTTTATGCAACCAGGGACAATTAACAGTTGAACGATCGCAATATTTTTCGGACGCGTTAAGGATTCGGTTCTTGTTCGTCCTCCTTCATCCGGGCGATTTGGGGTAACATTGACGGACCATCAGGTATGATCGTGTTTGTGGGTCACTGTAAATCTTCCATGAAAATCAACCAAAAAATAAGCCGCGTTGCACCAAGTCCGCTGGCCTTCATAAAACCCGAAGAAAGAAAATAATCCCAGCCGTGCGCGGTCCAGAGACCATCACCGCCGCTCCCTGGCTACACACACGGTAGCCTTGCAGCTCTTTTTGTTTTTTTCACCCCGTAGCCCCACGTTTGCATCGACCACCGCCGGTGCTCCCAGTTTCGCAACCGGTGAATCTTTGTCGCAGACCGTGTCGCGGCTTTACCATTCATCCTTCCAACCCCTGTAGAGATTCCAGTGGCTAATCCTCCGTCGGGTTTCACTGACCAACGGTTTCTATTGTCGAGGACGTTCACACGGCTCCCCAAGTCGAACGGGTTCGATGGAATCCAGTGACTGAAGATCTCAAGCAGACCTGCATGAAAGACAATATTCACTTCGTCGATGCATAAACAGTTCGATGATTGTATTCAATGACGAGTCGCCGGTGACCCGGTCATAGGAACCGGAGGGTTAATCTTGTCTCTGTGTACAAATATATTAATATTTTCCGTGTATAGGGGTGTAATTACACCTAATGCATTGCGGCGAAATCTAAAAGCAATTTTGTATTTTTATATATTTAAAAATTAAAATATTCTTCACTTTTCTACGGGGGCCTCTACTGTTACATTGCATGTATAATTGTGTATTAAAATTAAATAGTTCTGGAGTTGCTGGTAGGTCATATTAAAAATTGCTCGGAGTGCAAAGGGTTAATATACGAAATAGTAAATGGTCTTCGACGGTGTTTCTTCGGTCGGAAAAATTTAAAGGAACCCCATGCAGAAAACGGGCTACCAAAACACCACGCGGTTCACGTTCGTGGATATAACGACCCAGTTTATACTTCCAATTCACCCGAGGAAGAATGGAACGGTCCGACGTGAACAGGAGAAAGAGGGGCGCGAAAGGTGGTGTTGCGGGGACAAGGACGTGTTGTTGGCGCGCAAGGGTAGGGATCCGTGAGGAGGGTTGAAACGGAGGGACGAGGACGAGTTACAAGGGAGCGAGCGAGAGAGGGGAGATTTGAAGCTGAACATCCGCACGACAGCTGACAAGGAGACCCTACGACCAACTCGCTTCCGAATTTGATAAAATTTTTAAGGCGAAGTTTGACCTCAAGGCACAACGTTACTCGGAAGATTTCGCATCTGTTGCCATTTTTGTTTTCTTGTTACGAACAATTGAAGATTTTAAGGGAACGGAAAATCGTTGAGTTTCAGGAATATATATTTTCAAAGTGTGTCAGTCTAGCATGTGGAACCACCCTCTTTGTAAGCTCGAAGATTCTGGTTTCGAGTCGTTTGTTATTTCCAAGTACCAATGTACTTCTTACTATCAATGTTTTTAAGGACATATAACCATGCCATATAACCTTGCTTTGTTATATAGTGTAGACGCAGCTTTAGTCTCATATCCCTCACATTACGTTCGTATTATGTTCACAACAACGCCATAATAAACCCTGCCGTGCTCCTCACTTACCCTTCATATTTGTTATCTCTTTAAATTAAATTATTTTAAATTTTGAAATGATTTATTCTGAAAAAATGGATAATCGACATAAAGTAGACGTGAAATTTCAAATACGTTGGATACTAAACACAAACATTTAAAATTATAATACCTATCGAAATGTAATCACCATTCCGGGTCATATAGCCCTGAGGAAAATAACAAGGTTAAAAACAAATTAGATAACCGTGTTAATCTACAGCTACACCTGTATGAAAAAGAAGCATGGAATAAAAGCTTCTTCAAAAGCTTACATAGCATAAAGAATTACCTGAAGTCGCATGGCGCTTTCATGTCACGTCGACCAGAACACGGTATGCGCCAACCTTTATCCCTAAGAAAAACACGAACGACCCTTAAGGTCAAGAAGCATCCCTCAAAATTTCATCAAAATCCGTAGCCGTACCAGCTGTGCTGGTCTCGTTCGCGCGACCCGGGATAAAGCACGAGAGTTTCAAACGGGTGGGGAAGGCCGAGTGGGGGTGTTGAATCGTCGTTGGTGGGGATAGAATCCGGCATGCATAGCGGCGACGGAAGGAGCGCGGGGGCTGGCGGGGGGCAAGCGCGGTGCGGTGTGGTGTAGGGGGCGCTCGCAGTGGTGGGGGCAATAAACACGCCGGCGCCTCAGTATCGTCGCGTCCATCGTGGGAGTCGGTTCGTGACGAGCTCGGTTCTTCTCCTTGTCGCGGAACAAAAGCTCTGTCCGGTCCGTTTGGGTCCGTTGAATTCACGCGAAAACTCGTATCGTTGTGGGGGAATCCGCGCGTCTTCGATCTCTCGTGCGTGTTCATGTTCGATAATCACATGATGCCGCGTCTGATCAACGACGAGGGCTAGCCTTGCCCTTGAAGCGGCCGTTTTCGTGTACATATTCGACACCGTGGAGCGCTAAACGCGCACGACGTTCTGTATCCAACCAGCTGTGCCGGGATCGGGTCGCGTGTGTGTTTGTGTTCAACGTTTTTCCTTGTTTTCCCTCAGCGTTCTCCCTCCTACCCCACGGTTCGTGTCCGTGTGGCAAGAGAAGACCGTTGTCTCGTTTTGTTACGTTCGTGTCTGGGTATATCCGTTGTTCAGTTCTCTGTTTTTTGGTGCTTATGGTGAATACGCCGGGACGATAAGCGAGAGGGAACAAAGGGACCAGCAGCCACGGTGCGGGAGCAAGAGAGAGAAAGAGATAACGGCTGGTATCGACCGAGAGTGGAGGTTGCAGTTGACGTAAGTCGATGAATTTTGTCCTTACATGAGTAATGATCCAGACGGTGGCGTACGCGCTCTCGCGGACGCATCCGCGAACGCATCTTCTCGATCTCTTTAGTTTGGGATTTTCAATCAGCGAGAGACAACGCGCGTGTTTTTTGTACAACACGAGTGTTACTGGAAGTGGGGGGCGGGGGGGGGGGGCGGCGATCGTCAGATGTTACGGGTTAGATACGGTTGACTGATATACGAAACGCTTATAGGTTATGATTCATCTATGAAGTTATTCAGAGCCGTTTGACGCTGATTGGAAATCCTACCGTTCGACTAAGGTCACACGAAGTGGTTATTGACGAATGAGCACATCATCTCGTTTCTAGTAATTGAACTGTTTACACTAGTGACACGAGCGTTTTTCGGATTGAACGAATATTGTTTCCATAAAAATTTCGGAAGCGATTTCACTGTTTGTAGCGCCAGGATCGTCTTCCCACTCTAATAGTTAATAATACCATCACTAGGACGGCAGAATATTGGTTAGTGTTTCTCTATAAAAGCTGAAAGGCTTTTGTAAAACTGACAACGTATCATTCCTGATGATTCGGTTAGTTAATCATTTCGTTGTGCATCTGGTGCAACTGTCGGGTCATTTCATCGAAAACCACCTCGTGTATTTATAGGCTTACGGTCTATCTGGAACGATTAGTCGAAGCGCTTAACCCCTTGACTGCGGAGGGTCTAGATAAGAACCCTATAACAATATACGAGATTCGAATTTATTGTATTTTACTTTGTGCACAAGCAAATCCCAAGTAAAATAATCCTCTTTTTGTAATCGTAACTCCTTTTTACTTTGTGATAAATATTTAGGATTATCTGTCAGCTATAATCTAAATCTGTCTATTGTTTGCTACAATCTGCCTGACGGGGTAAACCACGCGAGATCGACACATTGACACGTTTAAACGTGACATTTGAATGTAGTTTGGGGTATAATCTATTTATGTGATTAGTCAAAGCGTCAATTGACGCGACGCAATCAATCCCTTAGTTTACTAAAATATACAAGATTGTTTATTAGCGATCTGTCTCTCGTGATTTCTGACGGTGACTCGACACAAGAAAACAAGTCGTCGAATTGGTCTCTGCAGACAACTGAATCGCGAGCGATAGTACAGTATTATCTCCCTATAGGCGCACCATTTGGGGGGCTGGCAACGAGATTATAAAGAGCCAGTGGATTCAGTTTTACGACCGTTTCATGGCTGCCTACTCGTTTTCAGATTTCTTTCTCATTCTATCCCTCATCATTATTCCGATCTTGTGGTGGGGATAGCGATACAATTACACCGAGACCACCAAACCGCAGTTCTAGAGAGAGAACGAGAACACTGTCTCGCTGATCATTACGAAAAATTTGACGCGACAAAAAATAAAATTGTATCAGAACCAAATTGCAAACTATTTGTAACAATAGAATGTAATTCTCTCATTCTTCCTCTATTAGCACCATTGTTGTTAATGGACCTAATCATAAATTTGTACGTGTTTCTTTCTAGAAAATTTCTGATTCCACATCAACCGTGGATCGAACTGCTGGCTTGCCAGTAAACGTCTTCTAGTTAGGTCGCGCAGAAGCGCATTAACTGACGCGTTTAAACCCGACGTTCGAGCGGTATTATTTCACGTAAGTCACGTAGCCCTACGCGGTGAACTGGTTTGGTTCGCTTCTCTCCCTCGCGCGCACGCGGGCGCCTGCCTCTTCCTGCGTCTTCGGGCTTGAAATAGTCTCTGGTAGAAGTTCACTGCCTCCACCCGATTGTGTCATTCAGGTTATACCGTCTTGGCGCGATCCTTCGATCGGGAGCCGATGTTGCGCGGGGGTTGTCTCATCGGCGACCGTGTATCTATTACGTTCCATACGTGCAACTTTTTGCGGTTGTTCTCCCGGACACACGTAAAGACGCGTGTCCCCCATTATGGCGGTTTTTGCCTCATGGCAAAACCAGACATTTTCTGCACGCTGAAATGTTTAGAAACGCGTTATTATTAGGCACTGTATCCTCAGGCTCGGATTAAGATTTTTGAGGCCCAGGGCAATTAAACCTTCGAGGTCCCTTGGTTGAAAACGGGATGGGATGGGATGGGGTAAAAAATAGTAATAATAAACTACATAAATCTTCAAAAATTGAAATTTATTCCAAGTAAAATTAAATAACATTTAATCATTACAAATGTTTGGTTATGACGAATTAGTGCTTCGTTTTATTTTCATATATAATGTTTTCAATTGGTCGCTATATGCAAGCGTCAAATATTTATGACGAGACGCCTTAGTGGATAATAGGCCTTACCATTCAACAGCCACGAACCATAGCGTGGCAATGAGGATGCGCCTTAATGCGTATATCTCTGTACTTTCTCACGTTGCGTTTCTTTTAACTTGATTACGCGACGTTCCACGACGAGAGGCAGGTTCCCAGAATTTAGTCGGTTTTTGTAATTCTATTATTCGATGTCGATTGCATCGAGTAACGGATACACATGATCACAGCGAGTGTGTATTCTATGGGATCATACGAATGGAGTGCTGCGAAATATTTCTGGGAAAGGCATTAACGCCGCTTTCGAAACGAGGGTGTAGAAATCTCCGCGTTCCCCTACGACCAGATGCTCTATTCACATAACACACCATTCAAGCTCGTCACAAACGACTTCCATATTCCCACCGGCTACTATCCATTAAACTTTTAAAAATTTCTTGAAAGTTTAAACCTTTCTAATGGAAACTTCAATATCTACGTGTCTGGCGATGCCCTCTTAACCATTCCATTCTTCTCCTGAACGAATACCTTTTCTGTCTTTCATTCGAAGCGTAATATGTTTATTTAATGCGATTAATAGGGTATGTATCTTTTTTTTTTGTACCGCGTGTTCTTCTTTACATACATATCTCAGGCGTTTCGTACGGCACACGTTTGTTATGATGTAAACACTGGTCAAAAAGTGACTCGACATCCTGCTTGTCTAGGTTTAACTCTTTGACGGCGGAACACTCAGAAACGAAATGTGCCAATTTGTACACTACTGTGCATTTGCATGATTTCCCAGATGGTTCTCCTTCATTGTTTTGCAGTTACATTTATTAAAAAAGTGATTTCCAAACATAAAACATTTAATATAGATGTATAGATATATAGATATGCAAGGTGTAACAAAAATGTTGGAGGACCCGGAAATGAGAGACTCGTGAGTTGATTTGAAACAAGTTTGTCCTTCGCAAAAATGTTATCTGAGGCTTTGTTAACAAGATATTAATGAAAAACCCCGACCAATCAGAGCGCGAGTTCCTGCGGTAACGTTGACTACGCGATGCGATTGGTAACAATGTACATAGAAATTGACTTACTAATTTTCACCTTGATGACGTATTGAGAGTAGCATATACCATTTATAAACCTAATTTGTCTGAAATAGTCAAAAGTTTGTCTCAACATGAAAAATCACAGTAATTCTTAAATAAACGCTTGGTTACATTTAGGTTTAGAGTTTTATTTTTTACATCATTATATTGAGAGGTATAGTGTAATATGTATGTTGCGACCCGCGTAACGTAGCAAATATGTGTATGTGGCCCGAGAAAAAAAAGTAGGCGTGATTCACATACAGTTTGAAATGAAAAAAAAATAGTCTCCGAAGACAACGTTTGTTCTTCGGTCGTAAACTTGTAGAAGAGGCCTGCCACTTTGTTTACGCGAGTCGACAAGTCTTTGGGTAAAGAACTGTCGAAAGAAACTGCATCCTCTCTCAATGGCCGTTTGCGTACCATTGGGGATCGCCCTGTCATCGAGCCGTATCACAAAGTTATCGTCAACCGATTAACTGTTTCACACCTCAGTTGCTAGTCAAATGCCCGCTCCCCGTTTCAATTCGACAGTGCCTCGAACTGTCTTGAACGCCATGGGGTATCTCGAATTACCAACTGGACATTTGTCAGGAATAAAAACGTCCCAAGTGTGTGCCTGGTCGTCCAGGAAACCGTTGACCCGTGCCCGGGGGTGTCGGTGTAACTGACTCTCGTAAAACACTTTAATTAACATTCCCGTCCGTTTTTCAGTCGTTCGACGGAAGTACTCATCGTGTATTGCAACGGCGCTACTGGCACGGGATATTGATACGGGCTCGAAAACGCGTTTACACGGTTGTAGTACGTTGTTTCATTGATTTCCGAGTGGTGACATTCACCCATGTTAAGGGGAGACCCCATTGTGACAGCCAGGAAAATAAGTCTTTTTTTAGGAATTTTTTTCTCATGAATAATTTACAGTTTCCACATAAAATTTGTATTACTTGGTTTTAATAATTAATAGGAAAATATACAGAAATTTTAATACATGATTAATCTTCTTGACCCTTCACAAAAAAGGGTCGCTGACGGGATGTGTAACTTTGGAACAGCAGCTTTGAAATCAAATGCAAAAACTTTTTTATTGACTATACGAGATCAGTTTCCGTTACACGTAAGGATTTTAAAAAGAAGTTATTTTTGTAAGAATAGCGCCCCTTAGAAGAGAAAGTTTCGAAAATTCTGCAAAAAAATTGACAGTTTTTTTAGTGTATTTCGAAAACTTTACTTTTGGTCACAATATCCGTACGTGCAACTGAAAGTAATCTTGGTTTAAGAATTCTTTCCAAAAACTCAAGCCGACTGAATAAAAATTGATAGAGTTATCGAACCCACCAGTTAGAAAACTGTCGCTTCGAGAAAAACGCATTGAAAGTTTGACTTGAAATTATTAATGTAATCAGAATGCACTGCATCTTTGTAAATTCTTGGAATATCCATTTGAAATTGTCGAATAGTGTTTTTGAAGAGTTAAACTTTAAGAAAATGCATTTAAAAAAAAATTAATTTTTTTTTCAAGTTTAACAGTGGTGTTTCCCCTTAATTGGATTTACCATTCTTTTCACTGCGAACCGATACATATTGTATAGAAGATGGTGTTGTTAACGGCGGT